GACGCTCTTCCGATCTCCCCAAAACCCCAAAACCCCACAGATCACCATCTAAAGCATAAATAATATCATTAACAAATACATAAATTATAGTGGTGCTTTCATTTCTACATTCATCAATCCTAGTTCTAGTCAAACTACTGGTAGTACTGCTTCCTGCCTCTATGAGGAGCACTATCTTCTTAATGATACTCCTCATCGCCCTCATCTATTCTTGGCAAAATAGCCGCCATCTGCTCATTAACCACTCGAGATAGCTTGCTTCTTTTCTCCTCAGTGAGGTTGTTTTGCTTTGCAAATTAGTCTATCACCTCGTTTGGGTCATCGCCTTCAAACACCACTAATTTTGAGACCATGTTGTGGCCTAGATTCACCTCTAGGTACAGTAGAGGCACTCTCTCGTCATCTAGAATCGTGATCATCTCATCAGACTTAGATATTGAGGGCATACCACCAGGCATGAATGAAGATTTATTAGGGTTATTCGATTGGTATCCAGGCTGGAAAGCTTTTTTGGGAGATTTCTTCTTCGCAGCATACATTGGCTGAGCAGCTGAATGTTACTACAATCTAGGAGACTTTTTATTTACAGTTGACTTATCAAACTTTGGCTTATTCGGTCCTGGTGCTCCTGCCTTTTTCTAATCTTGAATATTCTCCTCTTGAATGTCTCTCATTCTTGGAGAAGTTACTCCAGCACCTGCAATCTTTCTCTTATAGTAGTCCTCTGAAATAAAATTGGGACTAAAAGTGCAGTCTTTTTTGTTCTTGTCAAAATCAATCTCAATTGGAGAGCGATCTTTTCGGGAACTGCTTGGTTTCCTTTTATCGTATAGTTGACTGTAGACCTGTTTGGTTTGGCTTGGATCATGATTCTAATATCTGTCATTTATATGTCCACCCTGCAACTCTCTAAGAAGTTTCTGATTGACTTGAGGGGTAAATGTGCAGCCATCAGTTTCATTCATTGCTTTTAGCTGACGCTTTTCTTCAACCTTCTGCTTGTAGTGGTTTCCCTTTTCAATCATCAAGAGAGCTCTCTCGGTTAGTCTATCCTTAGATAGCTCTCTGCTTATACTTGGATTTTATTTTGTTTGGGTTTGCATAGTCTGATTAAGTTTGTCTTTGACTTTTCTATCAAGCTCCTCAGATTTTTTGCATATTTTAGGTTGGAACCAAGAACTCACTGGACTGTGCATTTAAGCAATTTTCTTTACAGGTCCTTAACTATCCAAGCTTACTCCGTTTAATTCATCGTTGTTGTTATTCTAAATGATGAATTTATCTTGAGACCTGTTAGATCTCATATTGTACATCTTAATAAACTGCTGATGAGAGTGATAGTTATTTTAGGCTCTTTAGAACTAGAGTATCTGCAATTGCTAGTGAAATTTGTAAAACTATTCATATGACTCAAAATGAAACTCTCCCGAATCATCCTCTTCTTTCTTGCTTTGATACTTCGACTGAGACTACTCTGCATTCTGCTTATATACACTACCTTATTTGCTATCTGAATTAAGCTGATTAGGCTGTGTCTGCGTTATAGATGGAGTATTGCCATCCATTGTTGATCTTTTATCTCTGTTAGGAGTGGATGAAGCAAAATCTGAGTTCATAGAGAAGTTATTTTTATTATGCTTTGCTAGATCTCCCTTGGATTTCTATTTCTCGCCAGATTGCATTTAGAATGGACCTTCTTACTGCTGCATCCAACTTTATATCCAAACGTTTTATATTGAGCAAAGAAGAAGTTTCAAATTTCTAATAGTAATACCTGCTTAGCATCCAAGATAATCCCAGATAAAGCCACAAATCTATTTATTTTTGTCTTCACTATCGCTGCTTGTGGTGTTGAGATATCCAAGAATATCCATAAAATGCATAAACTACTCTTGATCTAATGTGATTTAATTTTGCTTAGTGAGATCTAGTCCTAGATCTATTTGCAATAACCCGATCTAAATTTCCTTCTCAATCTTCTCTATCATCAGTCGATTAGATGCCTTATGAGTCATAATTTTAGAAGCACTTTGACTATTGCTAAGTTTATTCTCCTTGTCATTCGAATGCTCCTAAGATCTTTCCCTTATTCTTCTCTGAGCATCCATGTATAGATTTTCTATAGCCTGTCTATTCGGTTGCTTCTTCTGGATCATTCTTTCAGATTTCTTATCAACCTTAGGCTTAAGAGTTAATTCCGACTAGTATTGAGCTGATAGATTAAGCAGATGCTTCTAATCTTTTTATAGCTTTATTTTTTGAGTGCCTTCTTAATAAAGCTACTAACTCCTTTCAAGCGGTGACATTACTCTTGAGTTTTCATTGTGTGAGCCAGTTAACTCTCTTGTGAATAGTTTAGGCTTGAATAAGTCCTGGTACTTTGACTATTCACTTTCTGCAAGTTACTTTTTGAGATTTTAAGATTTTTCCAAAAAGTGAAGCTAATCTTGATAGAACTTATCAAAAGATCTATTAAGCTGCAATGAAGTGATTTGAACACTGCCATTATGACTCTCTTTAACCTGCTGTGATAAGTTATCCCTGCTCATACTTGCCTAGTTCGGCCTCTTATCAGTGTTGGGCTTGAATGTGCACCTTGACAGTTCAACTTCGTCTTTGCTCTTGTTAACAAACTTCTTCTGTTCAAAGTACCTGTCTTTCTCGTTGTAAAGCCTAGTGTGAATCTCCTCCTTTGACTCATTTGACTCTACTTGCTTGTTTTTGTCTTTCAAGAATCTGTCAAGAGACTTTTCAGTAATTAGCAGGTTGCTCTTAAGCTAAGCTTTGGAATTCGAAGAACCTATTTCAATTAGCTTTGATTCTAATATTCTGTAGGCTTGATTGAAGTCCTTTATAGTATTAGATTTAAAATCAATTTCTTCTAGTAAGTTTACTTTTGGTGGAGAATTCGCTCTAGATTTGTTGTTTTTATTAAATAATCTTGAAGTGTATTAAGATGCAGAAGCTTGAGGAGATAGCTTAGAACGAGGAGAAAACTTACTCTTGCCGCTGTTCATAAGATTAGTATTAGACTGATACAAATTCATCATATTTAGACCCTTCTTATTTGATTGCGTAAGGGGTGAAAACAATCCAGCATTAGATGATTTTTTGCTCTCAAATCCCATACTGAAATTATTATTGTTCTCACTGTTTATGCTAAGTTGATTATTATGGTTATATTGCTGAACGCCTATCACACCATTCGAACAGGCATTCACACTTAGCTGCATCTCTGAGAAATGCGTTTGATGATAAGTCCCGCCAGGACTCAATTGCTATGAATTAAAGTGTTATCCATTTTTCTTATCATAGCTTAGGTAGTTCATTTATTAGTGCTACTGCAGCTAATTTATATCTGCATTTTATAGTCGCTACACTTAAGCTGATATCACATTTTTCTGTGAAACTCGATTTGCTTCAATCATTTAACTAGTATCTGCAGAGAAAACATGTTGAATAAGTCAATGAAAGCTTACTTTATCTATGAGGAGAGGTAATGTTAGCTTGAGAGTGATAGTTGAAGTTATTAATTGAGGTGAGACTACCTATACTAAGTTAATTCTAGGGTTTGTTAAGTCCAACTCTCTGCTGCTGCATATCAAATCGAGGGTTCTGGCAGCCTTCATCATACTAGTGCAATTTCTGCTGAATAATTTAGTTATCTAATCCTTTGGCTTTATTTGAAATGCCTTCGTCAATATCTATAGGGGGTTAGGAGTTAGCAATTAAAATACCATCGAAAAAGTTGCAATCATCAAAATTATCTGCCATCTGAGAATTTAAGTTAATATTTAAACTGTTAAATAATATCAACTCTATTATTTCTCAGAAATCAATGAATTTACCGACCTATGGGGTTTTGGGGTTTTGGGGTTTTGGGGTTTTGGGGTTTTGGGGTTTTG